GTTACAGGTAAAAAGCTGAAGGCACCTGTACGAAGGATTTGTTGTATGCAGAACTCCCAGTTGCTGCTTCAGAGGGCAATGGCCACTGGCGAAGCCAGGGCTCGTGTTGGCTGCGTCCAGCCAGGCCTCAAAGAGAATGAGACAGTAGGGGCAGTTGGTTCAGTAGGATTGCGTAGCAGGTTTAACTGTTCTCCAATTGGTGCGTGTGATATAAACCGAGGGGTATGTGTCTGGTGACGTAGGCCATGCCGGCCGAGGGTGGGGGAAAGGGGCATATTCCAGTGACTCTTGGGCAGCCGCGACTACCTGGAAGTACGTGTGTGTGTGCGGGTGGAAATCGGTCAGGTGTTTGCAGGTTGGCACGTCTGAAAGCGCTGACTGAGATAGCGGATGAGGTTAAGACAGTTAGCCTTGAACAAGGAAGTCGGACAGCGTTGGCATCGGCTACATACTGGGTTCAGGATGGATGAGCGAGGGATAAGGGCGCTCGGTGTCGCGCAGGTACTCTGCTAGTACGAACTTACCAGCAAAAAGCTACTGTTCCTACGCCCACCTTCGTAACGGTCGCACCGCTAAGTGTTGTGAGCGCGATTTAAACTGTGCACTCCCACGGTAGTACCTATAAGGACGCCCAATTCCCTCTCAGTTAGACAGAGGAATTACTAAGCGTTGTTTTAACTAAGTCATTGTTTTCAAGGAACCTAACACATGAGGTTCTTCGGAGTCTAGCCAAAATAGAAAGTTTTTTGACAGAAATAAACTCGTAAAAGAGCAGAAGACCTGCATGAAGAATAAAAAATCGTAAAGACAAACCTCAAGCCCAGGCACTCGATGTGTTAGTGTGAACCTGTTGTCACCTTGTAGAGTGCTCACAGAGCGAACGACGCACTTGTGAGAGAGGGCGTAACGAGACGTTGCACTTCGCACCCTAGCGTTGAAGCACGCCAGTGCAACCACACATAGAGATTACAGCATGCGTTATGCATGCCAAAACTGTCATGGAGACGCTTGTCCTATGAAAAGTCAAGGTCACGGTACCACTAGCGCCGGCG